TAAGTGCTTACTAACCAGGTCCTGTTTTTACTTTAAAAATGTTCTTGCACAAGTTGTTTCATGCACAACCTAAAGGTGAAAAAAAATTCATGCCCCAAATAATTATCCCATCCCTGTTCCCTTCAGAAAAAAAAAATGGAAAGGCCCTAATAAATTTGAGTTACATGATATTTTAAGCACTTTTTAATTTTGACAACCAGTCAAAAAGTGCAGAGAGACTGCACTCTTTACAATATCTACACTTTTCTCACAGTTCTCAAAGCTAGTGCTAAACAGGCCCCTTGCTTACCTGCGTCTCACTGACTCTCACTAGAAAGTCTCCATCTGCAGCAGCTTTGTTCAACATCTTCTCAGCATACTCCCTAGTAATTTTACCCCAGAACCAAACCTTGTCAGCAAATGGGAGTTTCTTATGTTCAGGTAAAATAACTTTTCCTTGCACTCTGTTGTCGATCACAGGTTCGGAGCTTGGCATCGGTACTTTACTAGCGTTGTTCTCTACATTTGTAATATAATTGCTCGGAACTAAGCCGGTAGAGCCATCCTGTTTCCTAGCAACCCACCACTCGGGGTCATCTTCAGGTTTTTCAATAATATCCAGAATTTCATCCTTTTTAAAACTAAGCTCTTCAGGATTTTTGGGATCAAAAGTGTACAATGTCCTCACTTTCTGTAGGACAGGCTTTGGCGAAGATTTACTCACAGGTTTTGAGTTCTCCTCTTCGGCATAAACATAATTGGATGGGAACCAGCCAGATTGCATTCTAATTTTTCCCTTCCACCACCCATCCTCTTTCTTTTCTAAAACAGTTATCCTGTCTCCTTTCTTCAGCAGAAGTTCATCTTCATGCTGCGGTTGAAAGTTGAATTTTGCAATCACAGTCTCAAATCCAGCCAAAACATCCTGAGGAACAAAATATTCACCAGGTGACGACATTGCTCCATTTTCTTTAGGTGATTTGGTACTTTTTCCCTTTAACCAGCTTTTGCCTGTAGGTTTGCTCTTTTTCACATAGTTTGAAGGAACATAGCCTTTTTCATGTCTTGAATTTTCCACCTTCCACCATCCCTTGCTGTCATCTAACACCACCAGTCTTTCATCCTTCTTAATGGACAGTTCTTCACTGTCTGTTGCTTTGTAGTCATAAAGGGCTATAGCTGCATTCATACATGACATCTGAAAAAAAAAAATAGAGAAGTAAACACAAATAAGCAATAAAACCCATTTACAACCACAATCATGATATGACACAACTTCAACCAGAACTACCTACATGCATAAGCCCACACAGGTGAATAAAATTGTAATATTTTGAACCCTGTGACAAGACTGCATTATAGTCCTGAACTGTCTGTTACAAAATTTCCTCAGATACATATAAGTTCAGTACTGTTAACAAGTTGGTCGGTTACCAGTTGTTTAGCCTCCAAGTTGTTTAGCCTTGGCCAGTTAGCCCCCAGTAGCCCCAATATTCACTCTTAAAGAACAAGAAATAGACAGTGTTTTAGACCTCTGGCCTGGGTTGTTCGAGAGGATTGAGATTTTTCCAGTGGATAGCGTTATCCACCTTTTGAACAAGCCCGGCCTGGTCGGAGGCTTGACATTTAGAGGCTGATCAACTTGGCGACCAAACGACCGTTTACCAGGTGGTCTCTCTCCTACATGTACGAGGTTTATGACTTTTTTTACAGATCGTCCTTATGGCTAATGTTTTTGTACTTTTTTCCTTTTTTTTTTTCTTTTTCGTATCTCAATGCTTCGGAATGATTCTTTGAACATGCTCATCATCTGCAAACAATGTCATTAGTCTATAATAAATACATCAATGCACCTGCATGACTTTTTCACTTCTGACAAGGTAGAGGAGTGTCAAAGCATGGAAACAAATTCACTACATGTACAGTGTATGTTGAAATCTACAATATATTACCAATATGTTACGAGACGTAAATGTATAAATAAATGTTACATACTTTGTTACAAGATCACCGCACACCACAATTTTTTTTCGGAAGGGCAGGGTGAGGGGGTGCAGTGTGAGCATTTATCACATGAACGTGATCACAGAAAGTTGCCAAAACGGAATAGACGAGTACAGTTGACACAAACGAACCTTGCCCCTATCGAATATCGAAAGGGATAATATCACGCACACAAAGGCGGTTATTATATTTGTAAAAGTTGACCTATCGACACAGACGCGAAAGTGAAATAAGCTACATTTATAAGATAATGTTTTTTTTACCAAAATAATCAGCAATGGAAATGCAATGACATTTAAATTCAAATAGAATAAATTGCGAGTAAAACTTCCATTCGTTGCGCAATTCGATCGATAAAATTATAACATCATGTACTATCCAACAAAATTAACGATTCTTTAAACTGGCGATGCAGTGTTAATTTCTTCGTTATTTTAGGTACACTGTATAGACGAAATTGTACAGCTCTTTCAATATGTTTTAATTCAGCGACACGAGTTGAAGGAATTTCGATTGCAACGTAATTTACTGCTGTGCAATCTGAAGTGTGCAGTAAATCGTAATCTAAATTCTTTGAAGCAACGTTGCGGTAGCAGCGTTGGTAATTCATCCTTAAATTTTAGTCATAACTGCTAAGTTACAGACTCGATTTAGGTAAAGTACTAATGGGGCACGCTAAAACACTCAGACACTAAATGTATCCTGTACAACGTTGATAAGTTTTCTGCGCACTTTGGTAATGTACTCTTTCTGTTTTCGACTCTATTTGTAACAAAAACAATCTTACAGATGAAAATCCGCGTAAACCGGCGTTAAATTATTTGCATTTGTATTTTGCTGGATTAAAGAATGGACGTACAATACAACATCAGGCGAAACGATTGCACAGTTATTCATTCCATATTTGCAACCCACAATTCATTCGTGACTAAAAGCCGCTGGTTTATTTCCCTAAAGATTGGCTACTTTTCAAGTTTAAACTGACCTTACGTATCCTGAAGTTATTTGAGCTCCTTTCGCTACCCAGATGCCTTGATGATCTCCTGTTTAGAGGGAAACTTGGTTGCGAAACAGAATTTTAGCGTCCAACCACTACAGTCAACATGGCCGTCCGCGCCGAATAAGTTTTCTTTACACCCATGTCACGTGATCTGATCCAGACTAGTCCCAGTACTCCACGCTGCGTACCTTTGCCGCTCGTTGAGACAACCGTGGGAATAAAGTCAGTTTTGTTGTTGTTGTTGTTGTTGTTTGTTTGTTCCTGGTTTGTTTGTTGTTGTTGTTGCTTTTCCATTTTCACCTGGATTTTTAAGAAGCATCTCACAGATAAGTTGTAAGCCTTCCAATAAAGTTTCATTTGCTTTAAAAAAAGCCTCAGTTCTTTAAAAAAAGCCACAGTTATTTGCATTCTCTGAAGGTCCTCAAGCATTCTTGTCTCAATGTGTGTGGCTTTTTCCTCGGCGATCAGTGAAGTCGTTCGGGTAGAGTAATATCTGTACAACATTCAGATATTCATCAGCATGTACTTCTTCTAACCAGAAAAATGAAACGGAAACAAGAATTTCCTTTATTATATGGCCAGCTCCGTGAGCGGGCAAGATGAATCAAATCCTGCGCTGTGATTGGCCACCCGAG